CGCCCGCCGCGGGCAGGAGGAGGCCCCGGCCGCGCCCTTCGTCCCCGCCGGCGCCCGGGGAGACCCGGCCGGACAAGCCCGCGACGCCCGCGCCCTGCTTCGGGGGCCGCACCCTGGAGGAGATCTGGAGGGCGGCCACCCCGACGCTGACCACCTTCCCCACCATCCGCGTTGGCGGCGACGTGTGGGGCGAGCGCAGCCTGGCGGCAGCGCGGCGCAGGGCGCGCCAAGTGCTGCGCGTGGACCTGGAGCCGGTGGTGAGGCTCCGCCGCTTCCCGGTGCCCCGGGCGTGAGGCGCGGCCGTGGGCGCCCCCTGCCGGCCGCGAGCCTGGGCGGAGCTTCCCCCGAGGAAGGGACAAGTGTCAGTCGAGTGTTTACAGAACCGGCTGGGACCGGGTCCCCCAGTGCACTTTAGCGCGGAGGAGCCCGACGCGTGGTCAGCGCATCCGGGCCGCGGCCGCCTGCTGGCTCCGGGACAGGTGCGCCCTCCGCGCGCCCCGCACGCGCCGGACCGGGACACGGCTGGACCCGCGGGCCGCCCCTCGCTTCCGAACCCCGCTTGGAGACCTCTCCAGGACTGAAGGGGAAGATCCGTTTCTCCCTTTGGACTCTACCTCACTGGTCTGGAAGTCCTCCGAAGAAGTCGTTCTTTTCCAAAGGAATTTGTTTTCGTGCTTGTGTAATAAAGCCAGAATTCACTTGCTCTTTATCCCCTCTCTCCCCTCTTCTTTTCCCCCCTTCCTGACTGCCACTCCTCTTTCCGGACAGAAGATCGAACATGTTTTGTGGTGTTGCACTAGCTTGTGCTCAGGGTATTCTGAATCCGACTCTTTTCCTAATTTTTACTGGATTCCAAAACTTTGACCAAGGATGTTTTTCAAGAGGCTCAAGCTTACCACTGTTAGTACTGCCAGGATTTGTATGTTTTTTGAATTTCATGGGCTCAGTGATTACAAAGAGATGCAAAGTACAACTGTTGAAACATTTAAAAAGTGTTCTGAAGAATTTTATATGGAATTTAATGTTACATTTACTGAGCTCTGAAAGAAAATGGTAGAACGCTTATATAAAGTTTTGTTGAGGAAAAATTGACTTGTTAAATTCTTTTTAATTGAATAAAAATTGAAGTGCATTGAAACCACACGGCTTGTGATTTTAAAAAATGAATAAATTGTGAAGAACTGGTGTTGGTTACAGGAATGCCTGGAATCCAGTTTGGAGCTACTTTAGCCTCATGTCCTAGTCTAACTTACAAATCCAGGAATGTTAAGGGAGAGTAATTGATTTTAAAGTGAAAGTTGTATAGCAGAGTTAAATGTGTGTCAACATTGTGATTGAGATAGTAAACAGAATACCCGTTAGAATTCGCAGAACTATTACATAATGATCTATGGAGGGTGGGGGCATTTCTTGGTATCAAATGACAGGAATAGATGTCTTTATTTCTTTGTTTTGTTTTTGGATAACAAGAAATTCCCAGACTAGGTTAATATTCATTGCCTTTATAAACATGACAATTTCGTCCTGTGAATTTTCTTTTTTATCTTTTTTCATAAGTGTGTTTGCAGTCATTGATTGACAGGTGAAGGCCACAGAAGTCACACAGAGTACTGACCCTTCTTGTACACTTTAAGAAGCGGTATACTATATGGCCCAGTATGGAATTCTTGATTATCCAAGTGCCTTGGTCGGTCGTCGATGGCAGCAAGACTTAATGGATTTTAGCCAGTGGTGCCACAGCCAGCTTTTACTGCAATACCTAAATGGTCAAGTAGTGTTTTTGTATCACTGTTACTTCAAATTTAAGTATTCTGCCATAGAACCATCCATGCTGGGCTGAAACTCGACATGTGAAATCCTCCATGCTAAGGTTTCTCTCTCCTTGGCAGCTGATTGGGAGAATGATGAGTTGCAATTTTGACCTTTGTGTTCCTAGATTTCAAACGGCATAGCTTTCTAAAATGATTATTTTACGTTTCATAGTCCACAGTAGCAGTGTTGTGACTAATTTCAGTGTTCTTGTTTTGTAAAAATCTTACATATATTCATATGTATGACTTTATGCCAGTTTTCCAGTAAGCCTCATAGTCTTATTTACTACTTGATACATTGCTACAAACACTGTCATATAAATAAGAAAAAAGGAATAATTACTTAGAATATGGAGCATACTAAATTATAGTTGTGTAATAAGAAGCTGAGACATACTTTTGGTTATTAGCTTCCATTACCAATTGTATTTCAGAAACAGGCTTTTCTTCCCAAAAATATATTGTTAACTTTTATAGCTCACTAGCATCTGAAGAAAATGTATTTGTACCACTTCACTATTGTATATAGTTTTATAATAATTAAAGAATAAATCCAATGGCCATATTAGAATGTAATTTCAACATAGAGCTTATCTAGGTAGTTTTGCAGAGGATTTTGAAATTAGATTTAGCTGAGAGGAAGACTCTTCAGCACACAACTGAAAACATAACCAGTGACACCATGCATTTATTTTAGGTGATGTTCTTGACATTTTTTTTCTCTTATGCCTTGTTACTTTAGTGCACTTGAACTTGCATAAATGCTTCTTTGGCTTCTGTGGGATGTCAGATTACAGTTTGAATCTGATTGCCCATCCTAAATTCAGTATGGTTCATGGACTATTAAAAAATCATGCCATTTCTAGTTTGTGAAGATGTAAAAAGTCTTTATTTTTGCCAAGTTTTCTTTAGCAAAACCTATGTCACAACATCTAAAATGTGAAGAAACATATAGTTGACTAGTATATTAATAGGAAAGTGGAAGTATTTTATGAGTACCTTTGGGGGGAATGTGAAAAGAAACTTGGCATAGTGGCCTTCATAATGAGGCATCTATTTACTGTCCTCTAAAGGTCTGTAGTTTAGCTTGTGTATAGTTTTTTAAAGAAGTCTCATGACCTTTATTCTCTTGCCTTCTCTTACATTTCATATGGCACAAGTAGAGTGGGAAGCTGGGAGGAAATTTATCACCGTGGTATTCTTTTATTTAAGTTTTGATTTTTGAATGCCTAATTGTGGTGAGTGACACCTCAAATAACCTTTTGAGATTCCCAATCCTCTTCTCTGACAACCAGCAACTCATTTTTATGTTACTAAAACCAGTAACATGATTGTTGAGGGCAAGCTTCATTGTTGATGGTGCAAAGTGTCGCTGTTGTGGTGTGTATTTATTTTGTCTAAGTTTGAGTATTCTACTGGACAAGTGTAACTTATGCTGGTGGCTGATACTTATTGGTTGGCTATGTGCAAATGATAGTGCTATTTTTCAGAAAATTCTTCAATAAAACAAAATATTTGAATACAAAAAAATAAAAACAATTTTGAACTCTCAAGTTTTTTTGTTGTTTTAAGAGTTGCCACAGCACTCATTAAATTGGTAATTTTTAATGGACATACCTAACATTTATTGATGATTTCAAAAATATTTTTTGATAAACTTTTGTCTTAAGTGCATTAGAAAGCAGTTGTTTGTAATGGAAATGAAATGTTTCCCTGGACAGTTTAATGTACATATAATTAAGATTTACAATTTGGTTGTACTTGCTTTTTAACTTATTAATTGTAAATAAATTTTAAAGAATACATATTGTCTGGTTCTTCTAATGATACCGAAAGTCTTTTAAATGGATTTTATGTTTGCATGTGAATCAGAAAACATCTTAATTTACAGTTTGATACATTTTGACTTTGTTGTGAATTTAAAACTGAAATCTTAGGATTTGGTTTGTGCTGTTTTGAAAGTCTATGTCCTATCAATTCTTTAATTTTCTATCAAATCTCTAGAGTGGTGCTTCAAGCCAAACAAAACCTAGTAGACTTCTTTAAGAGTGCATCAAACCTGGGGGGCATGGTGCCATATGCCTGTAATCCCAGAACAGCAAGTTTGAGCAGTTTGAGCAATTTAATAAGATTGTCTCAAAAAAAAAGCATCCAAATTTGGTTCTGAATTCTGACCCTAGGTCCCTCTATGGTGATAATGAAAGATCTAAAGCTCTCATTTTTTCATATTGTAAAAGGAAGTGAGAATACTCTTATCTATGTGAATAGCAACAGTAGAGTATTCTAGAGGCAGGGCCAGAATTTTCATTCTAGTCTAAAAGTCAGAAGTGGAGTATTAGCAAACTGCATTGCCTTTGTACCCAAGTTCCTATCAGTAGACAGAATAGCATAGTGAATAGCTGTGGTGTTATGGTGCCTGGGATGGAATTATCATGACTTGCAAGTGTGGGGACTCTAGGTAAATAATTTAAACTCTCTGTGCCTTAGCCACCTCCACTATGAAAGGTGGTTAGTAAGAAGAAACGATCGGGTTATTATAAAGGTTGAAAGGGATGTTAATGCTAGAGACATAGGAAGGGCTTAATAAATGTTATTAGATATATGCACCCTGAGAACAAGGTATACACCAAGAGTGGTCCTTCAGGAGTTTAGCTTTCCAGCTTTTTCAGCATCCCAGCCAAGGACATACTATTGTCTGGGAAAATACTTTGCAAATGAATTAAATTGAAAACAAAAAAAATACTTTTTTAGCTTGTTGAAAAACTATACAACAGGAGGTTGGATTGAATTGACTTAGTACAATTTTCACTGTTAGAAGTTTTCTTCAAAAAATTGAGTCGTCTTTTACCATATCTCTGAAAAACATCTAAAATGTTCCATTATATACTTTTCTGAAATTTTATAAAAGTAGTAAAGTTATTGATTCAGGAATTTGTGAAAGTTTTACACTAAATTTTCACTTGGAAAGTTCTCAGGAATCATGTGAATTTACATGCATGGAACCATAATAGAATTAGTTTATGTGAACTTGTGCTTTAGGTACGATAGGAAACAAAATGAGTACAATAGCTGTGTTTGAGATACAGTAGCAGAAAATCATTACTAAAAGTAAAACTATCTTAATATTTGAAGCATTAGCATAGTTTTAGGTGTTGGATATAAAACTTATAATTTAGTTCTGATTCCTCCTAATATAAAGAATAAGAGCCCTAGTCTAAGTTGGTGCACAAGCCAAAGTTGCAGGATCTGAAGTTAACACAAAAGAAATTTCCTGGAAAAGCATTATATAGAAGTCATGCAGGTACAGGGACCTCAGAACTTGGTCTGATTTCAGATTTCAAAAAAGCAGTGACTTCTCATTCTCAGCACTCTTTCTTGTCTGAACTAATGTTCTAAGCCATGATAAACATATCCAAAGCCCAACGATAATACCCAAAGGTAATGCTCATAATGACCTCAAACTATATGATTAGCCTAGCAAATGTGAAATATTTTCCCCCATTAAGTTTATTGGTACATTTTAGGTATAAAATACATTTACATACATCATTGGGATCTTGTACCATTACATGAGTATCTTAGTTCTTATT